TTCCTTCCTTCCTTCCTTCCTTCCTTCCTTCCTTCCTTCCTTCCTTCCTTCCTTCCTTCCTTCTTCCAAAGTTAGGTGATGGAAGTAGCAACTTAAGCAGGGAGGTCCAGACATCTCTTTCCATCAACAGAAGCTAAATTTACCAAGACAGTAGCTAAATGCTAAAGTCATCAAAACATAACTAAATGCTAAACAGTAGCTAAAAGCTAAAGTCATCAATACAAAACTAAATGCTAAAGTTAGCAAAACTGTGGCTAAAAGCTAAAATTAGAAAATCAAAAGCTAAAACCAAATACAAATACTGAAAGTCATGCACTACTTTTGACTTAACCAAAACTTTTCATATCCATACAGTTTAAATATGACAAAGTGTGCAGTTTGATTGCAAAAAATACAGAGGAAAATATAAATATATCATAACAAAATATTATAATCCTATACTGATTTCATTGTTTTGAGAAACAGCTGCCTCCTGATTTTCATTTTTATAGCTGATTTTTGTGTCATTGATTCTCCACTGAATGACTGCAGCTCTATTAAAAGGTAGAAACATGAAGGTTTATATTGACCATCTTGCCCTCTACGTGTTCATGACTCTATATTTCAATGTCAATTGGCTTTCTGACCATAGATCTTCCTGTCTGGAAGTTTCAATAAATTATAATGACAGGAAGCTATTAACCAAGCAGCTTCACTGAGGTCAGAGAGCTGTGGGAGTGGGTGGGATTCAGGACACTGCAGACTGTTCTGTCCTCTGTAAAAAGCTTTGCCATGTCCTGTTATTCAGACAAATCACCAAGATCCCAAACAGCACGAAATCTGCTGATGTTCTCTGGCATTGTAGGGTTATCTGTCTTTCCCAGCATGCATTGTGTCCCACAGCTGTGGCAACAATACATTTCTGTGCAGAATATCAGAGCAGAAGACACAAACTATACTCTGAAACAAGTTGGGTTGTAAGAAAATGCCTGCTGCGAACACAAGTTTAAATCAAACTGCACACATCACGTTCCTTTTTGATTATTAAAAAAGTTTATCTGTTAATGTGTGTGTTCCTATGGAGCAGAGAGTCCTCATGACAGGTCAGAGGCAGGTCTATTTTATTTTATTTTTCAGTGTAGTACTTCTATGCAATAATATTGTTTGCGTCTGAGCTGCTCCATCAGCATCTGCCTTTGAGGTGAACAGGCACATGTTAGTTATGCAACCTGTAAAATGTCACCTCAGGCTGCAGAGCTCTCAGTCTCTGAGCTCTCAGTGCTGTCTCCTTTAATGAGGAGGAAGGAAAGCAAAATATTTAAATGTTGATGCTGCACAAAGAAAGCCTGTTTCTGACTGATACGAGTATTTTGTGTTGATAGTTTTAGATGACTGTTTGTCCTATTATATAT